AAAAAAAAAAAAAAAAAAAAAAAAAAAAAAAAAAAAAAAAAAAAAAAAAAAAAAAAAAAAAACCGCATTTTTTTTTTCTTTCGAATTTCCTTGGATTTCGCTCATACCCCCCCCACCAAAAGTTCATCTTTTCCTTTTATTTTTTGTGTGGGGGGGTGGGGCAGGGGATGCGCTGCCACATGGCGCCGCCAAAATCGCGAAATCTCCTCCCCTGCGACTGCCATGTGTCCGCGAATCCGCGCGTCCGCGCGGACACGTCCGCGGGTTTCGCGGACTGGCCGCGGCCGCGGACTGGCCGCGGCAGCGGACTTGGCCGCGCCTGTCCGCCACCGCGGGTGTTACATAGCTGTGCGCAGCCTGCACACCGCACTTAAGGGCTAAATCTGACTTTTGCAACTGTGCGCGGTAGGCGCACTATACTTGAGGGCTATTTCAGAACACTGTGCTATTCGCAAGAGCCATTTCAGAACATTGTGCTATTCGCAAGAGCCATTTCAGAACATTGTGGTATTCGCAAGGGCCATTTTGCTATTCACAACTGTGCGCCGTGGCGCACCGTGACTGAGGGCTATTTTGCTATTCATAACTGTGCGTTGTTGCGCACCGTGACTGAGAACCATTTTATTCGCAACTGTGCACTGTTGCGCACCATGACTGAGAACCATTTTGCTATTCGCAATAGTGCGTTGATTGCGCACTATGACTGAGGGCCATTTTCTGTTGTTCGCAACTGTGTGCTATTGCGCATCGTGACTGAGGGTCACACATGACCGATTTTTGAACCAGGTGTCAATTTCAACTTAGTGTTCAGTCTGCACATACTCTGTTGACCAACTCTCATTTGATGGCAATAGTGGTCTGGCCCTAAGAGAAGGCCAAGTTTTGCGCGCAGTAATCACTCTATCCCATTGCAAGCGGTAGTATATTGGTCCCTAGCAATCAGATTGATATATTATTTTTTTAAGTGTGCGCCCGCGCGTGCCCAGACCAGATATTATAAGTGTACGCCAAATCGCGCCCAGACCAGATATTGTTAATTAAGTGTGCGCCAGTGCGCGCCCAGACCAGATATTATATTTAAAGTGCGCGCTCGCGCGCGCCCAGACCAAATATTATATTTTAAGTGTGAGCTCGCGCACGCTCAGACCAGATATTTTAAGTGTGCGCCCGCACGCGCCCAGACCAGATATTATTTTTTCTAAGTGCGCGCCCCCACGCGCCCAGACCAGATATTATATTTTGAGTGTGCGTCCATGCGCGCCCAAGCTTGGTATTGCAGTCAGAGTGCGCGCCCATGCGCGCCCAAGCTTGGCATTGGAGTTAGAGTGCACGCCCATGCGCGCCCAAGCTTGGCATTGCAGTTAGAGTGCGCGCCCATGCATGCCCAAGCTTGGCATTTGCAGTTAGAGTGCGTGCCCATGCGCACCCAAGCTTGGCATTGCAGTTAGAGTGTGCGCCCATGTGCTCCAAGGCTGGATATCGTTATTTGAGTGTGCGCCCATGTGCACTTGCGCTGGATACATGTGCGCCCAAGCTGGATATCGTTATTTGAGTGCGCGCCCATGTGCACTTGCGCTGGATATGTGTGCGCCCAGGCTGGATATTGTCGTTTGAGTGCGAACCCATGTATGCCAAAGCATAGGACTGCTGGCTGGGAAGATTTGCCATCACACTCCCGTTGATTTATTTCTTTGCTGATCAGCAACACCTCATGCACATTATATTTTCCCTCGCACGGGGGGCATTGGCAGTTTAGTCCCTGCACAGTTGACCTGGCTCAGTCTAGCCCCAGTACATTCAGCATTTGTGACTGGTCCCTGTGCATGAGATGTTCTACTGATCAGTTGCTGTTCAGTCGGGTCCTTCAGGCAGGCCTACTTGGGATTGTTCAGTCGGGCCCTTCAGGCGGGCCTACTTGAAATTGTTGCTGTTCAGGCGGGCCCTTCAGGCGGGCCTACTTGAGATTATTGTTGTTTAGTCGGGCCCCTTCAGGCAGGCCCTCTACTCGAGATTGTTGCAGTTTTCAGCTAGGCCCCTTCAGGCGGGCCCTTTCTCTTGAGATAGCCGCTGCTCAGCCGGGCCCATTCAGGCGGGCTTTATATTCAGTTGTTGTCCAGCCGGGCCCATTCAGGCGGGCCCTATATCGAGTTGCAGTTCAGTCAGGCCATTCAGACAGGCTTCCACATTGAGTTGCTGATTGCTATCTGGCCAGGTCTTGGAGGGAGTATTTACATTAGTGAGAGTGCACCTTCTATCCAAGCTGGCCCGTCATCGTGAGACTGCCCCTACGTGGGGTAGATTGATTGAGAGGTTCTGCTACAGGCATGTGGGACATCAGAGTTTCACTATCAGGGTTAATGAGTCCTCGACCTCGAGACACATGCTCGTGATCACCTACTCGGTGAAGGGGGCAGAGACGGGATTGCGGATTGCGGATTATATATTTCGCAAGGAGAGTTATGGGAGGGACAATTGGCTACACGTGGTGTTCCCTCGCGTACCTTCAGCACCTGGGGGTGTGCTCTTCGATTTTGACGGATGCAACCCCAAGCCCCTTAGGAGAAGAGGCGGAAGGACGACCGGATCATGAGAGAGATAGCCAGATCCGGGGTCCCAATCACCACATGCGTACAGAGATCAGAGACAGATGAGTCGGACTTGGAGCCCTGCTCTGTGAGTGACGTTGATCTTGGATTCTTGGTGACTATTTCCAATGGGACACTTACAGAGGCTGAGTTTGTGGATAGTGACAGGAGCGCTGGAGACCGGTGAGCGGCGACGGTGGAGAGCGACATTGAGGAGGATCGCATATCTTCTCGCGCGGTACCTACTTGAGGGTGATTGACTCCTACGTGTCAGACGACCCTAGGTCTGAGACAGTTATTGGTCCCCCAAGAGGGGAAGGACCGGTCCCATACCTCGGAGATGACCATAGTCATTTGGTTGGGACGGACTTTGCTATGCAGGCTTTTCGGAAGCCTCTTTACGGAGATCGCTTTCTCGAGGTTTCCTACATCTACTCTGGTGGGAGAGGACGGATTGAGATACTGATTGGAGCTTCAGGTGACATCACTCTTGCGGAGGAGCTTTATCTCAGGAGTGTCGCAGACGAGGAGATGGCAAGATGCATGGCCTATATCTGCAAGATTGATCCAACAGCGCCTCTCGATATCAGCTATGTGGTTCCAGAGTCTATAGCCACGCGGGTTCTCAATGACGAGGCGCCAGATATGGAGTCCCAGACGGCAGCACCTACTCACGAGGGGTTACCGCTTATTATCATTGATTGAGGTTCTCTCTTTTCAGTCACTATGATGTATTACGACATTATTATTTATTAGTGACTACAGCCCTCCGATGGTTGCTCCCTGCATACTCTGTGCACTACTCTTCACTCTTGTATATTTGGTCATGCTCTTGCAGAGTCTGATTTCTGGCCTTCTTATTCTGTCAATTGCTCTATGATGCATGTATTTTATTTTCCTTCTTATTTTACACAGGTTACACTCAAGGCAGCTTGAAGGACTCCTGAATGATAGGGACTCCGGTGACCTTGGGTCTATCCTTTATACAAGGTCAGGTGCAGGCGATAAACCCGAACGCCTCACTCGAAGCCGTGTCGCCGCTGGCAGGAGGGATAACCCTGACTACTCAGCTGTATGACTAAGTGTGACTGCCTCTGAATACACCTCTATTTTTATACCTATCAAAATCCTGCGTGACAGCCTGCCAGTCCTCCAACCCACTGAGCTCGGTCCTGGGAAGGATATCTAACCAGACCCTTGAAGCAGTTGGGGCGCGACAATGCTGGCGCGTCGCCCCCCGAGGTCCCTCATTAGGACCTCCCCCAGGGCTTTGTCCCTCCTCGCGGTGTCCTTTCCGCGGAGGAGCGCGCGGCTATTTTGGGTCGGCGTGGCTGTTTGCGATGCCATCAGGACGGTCATACCTCCTCGCGGTGCCCTTACACCACTGCCCTTGACCGCCACTACGCTGACCTTTCCCGCCAACGTCGTGCTCAGTGTCGCTGCACTGCATCGCCTTTTCGCCATCCTCTCTGACCCTGATCGCACCCTCCCGATCATCCCAGTACGACTCGGGACCTCCACGAGGGTGTACTCAGCGCTGTGGGATTCCGCTTCTCAGGGCGACCTCATTCACCCACGCGTGGTGAAAGAAGCCCGCTTACCCACGACAGGGTCTCCAACTCTCATCTCCGTTACCCTAGGGGACGACAAGACCCAACGCTTCTTCGATCAGAGGGTCACCGACCTCCCTTTCTTCCTCACTCTCGAGCCGACTGATCGTTCCCCAGCGTCTCGTCGCCACCGCTCCTCTGCACATTTCGATGTGATGGAGACGGGGTACGACTTCATTCTCGACACTCCGTGGTCTCGTCGGTTCCGCAGCACCGAGGCCGATTGGGCGACCAACACTCTCGATTTCAAAACGAAGTGTGGACAGACATATCGCGTACCTTTCATAGGTACCACCGCGACACCACGCCTCGATCCTCCTCCCCCGGAGCCTTCCGTGCACACACCACCTCCTTCTATCACTTTCACCTCGCCTCGACAGTTCGCCCACTTCATCCGACAGGACGATGTCACCTTCTTTACGGTGAGCATGACGGATCTCTTACACTATGATCCACCCTGTCCCGACGCCGAGCTCATCCCTCTGGAGCCAGATCCTCCTTCTATCTCCATGGCTCCCATCTCTACTTCCGTCCCTCCGCCGTCCGTCGAGTCGACCCCGCCGTCTCGCGCTGACGCTGACGCTGAGGAACTCGTACGATATACGGCTGACCTGGAACCCGCAGTTCGTGACCTCATTCGAGAGTACCACGACGTTTTCCCATCGTCGTTCTCGTACGCCGGCATCCGACCGATGCTCGACGTCGAGCACTCCACCCAGCTTGTGCCTGACTATCGTGTTCACCACCAGGCACCCTACAGACTCTCGATCCCCGAGGCCACCAAACTCAAGCGTCAGCTTGAGGAGCTCCTGAGACTGGGTTTCATTAAACTCAGCAACTCCCCATGGGGTGCATCCGTCCTCTTTGCTCGCAAAGCGGATGGAACTCTCCATCTCTGCATCGACTATCGCGGCCTCAACCGCTACACGGTTAAGAACACCTACCCCATGCCTCGTTCCGACGAGCTGTTCGACTGCCTAGCAGGCAACCGCTTCTTTACGAAGATTGATCTTTGTAGCGGTTACCGTCAAATCCGTGTCGCTACAGCCGACCAGCCGAAGATAGTGTTTCGATCGCGCTTCAGCCACTACGAGTTCACGGTGATGTCATTCGGCCTCACCAACGCACCAGCTACTTTTCAGAGGGCGATGAACGACATCTTCAGGGACATCCTGGAGCAGTACGTTCTCGTCTACCTCGACGATATCGTGGTCTACAGTCGTACCTTTGAGGAACACCTCAGAGACCTCCGCGACGTCCTTGACCGCTTGCGCAGACATGGCTTTTATGCCAAGCTGAGCAAGTGCCGCTTTGCCCAGCACAAAGTGGATGTCTTAGGACACTACGTGTCTGACCAGGGTCTCCACATGGACGACGCAAAGATCACTGCTATCGCGGAGTGGCCCGTCCCCACATCCGCCAAGCAGCTTCGCAGCTTCCTAGGCCTGACCAGCTACTATATAGTAATTTCATCCAGGGATATGCTAGGTATTCCTACGTCCTTACCTCCACCCTCCTCCGGAAGAACCCTCCCTGGGCTTGGACACCCCTCCACGAGGACGCCTTCCGCGCCCTAAAAAAGGCGGTGACATGCGCACCGGTTCTTCACCTACCCGATTTTGATCGCCCTTTTATCCTTACCACCGATGCGTCAGGCTTTGTTGTAGGAGCAGTGCTTTCTCAGATCTTCCTCTCCTCTCATGATTCCTCTCATCCTTGTATCCCTCACTTCCCACCACCTACCCCTACCACTGCTTCCCGACTGACGCCTACTCGTCCAGCTACTGACGAACCTTCTATTGACTATTCTCCTACCATCGCCGAGGACGGCACTGTCGAGTCTCGCTCAGGTGATTGTCCGATAGCCTTCTACTCCCGTCAGCTCTTGCCTGCCGAGATAAACTGCACCGCTGATGAACGTGAGGTTCTCGCAGTAGTTTATGCCGCTCGACACTGACGTCACTACCTGCAGGGGGCACCATTCACGGTGCGCACGGACAACTCTGTTGTCCAGGCTTTTCTGACAAAACCGAAGCTCACTCCTCGACAGGCTCGCTGGTGGCGCGACCTATCCGAGTTTAGTTTCACCACTGAGCACATCAAGGGTGAGACTAATCGGGTCGCAGATGCCTTATCTTGGCGCCCTAACCACGAATAGGAGCAGATTCAACTCTCTTCCATCTCGGTCACCACCGTCCACCACTCGRTGATCGACGAGTTTCGCACTCAGTACCGCCACTGCCCCGACTATCGCGACATCCACGTGACCCTTCGGAGTGGCAAGACCGTATGAACTACTCTCTCGGGGACAACGGTCTTGTGTACTGGCACGGTTCACAGGGCACCAGAGAGCCCCGTATTTGCGTTCCCTCCACTGGACAGCTACGTGTCCGAGCAGTAGCAGAGTTCCATAACCAGGAAGCCGTCGGTCATATGGGTTTCCACAAGGCGTTGGCTCGTGTGAGCCGCCTGTACGTCTGGCCGAAGCGCAAGGACTTTGTGAAGGACTACGTCGCAGAGTGTCCTACCTGTCAGGAGGTGAACAGTGCGAACCACCTTCCTTATGGTTTGCTCCAGCCTCTTCCTATCCCTAAGGGTCGTTGGCAGTCCATCTTGATGGACTTTATCGGTCTTCTTCGTCCTCCGACCCCCCGCGGTCATGATGCTATCCTGGTCATCGTCGACCGCTTCACGAAGCGTGCACGCTTTGTTCCGTGCCGCTATGCCATCAGTGCACGTGAGGTCGCCGACATCGTGTTTGACCGAGTCGTGTGTGACCACGGCTTACCTCTGAGCATCATATATGACCGTGGCCCGCGCTTTACCAGCCGATTCTGGCGACGGCTCCACGAGGTGTACGGCACTCAGCTCCGCTTCTCCTCGTCTTACCATCCTCAGACTGATGGTCAGACCGAGATCATGAACAGGACTCTCGTAGATGTTCTCCGAAAGATTGTTTGTGACGACCAGCAGTGGGATCTCCATCTTGCCCACACGGAGATAACCTACAACCACGCCGTCTCGCCAGCCACGGGGATGTCGCCTTACTATTGCGACCTCGGCTATCACCCTTGTGTTCCCGCGGACTTCCTTCGACCATCACAGATGCACCCCGACACGAGTTGTCCCGCGCTGGATAATTGGGTTGCACACATGACGTCGATCATGAAGACCGCACATGAGCACATAGCTGCTTCCCAGACTCGCATGGCAGCACGTGCGAACCGATCGAGSATGGATCATCCATTCAAAGTCGGTGATGATGTGCTTATCGACGCCCGCCACTTACAGCTCGAAGCGGACATGCTTCGCAAGTTTCGGCGTCGCTTCTTTGGCCCATGCCGCATCCTCCAGGCTGTCGGTTCTGATACGACATCTAGCCCGGTCAGCTTCCGTGTGAAGTTGCCCGACTACCTACGCCAGGCTCGTGTGCACGATGTCTACCACGTCTCGTTACTGCGTCCTTACCGCAGACCGTCTGAGCGTTTCGCTGGAGGACCATACGAGCGCCCTCCACCCATCATGGTGGACGGCTACGAGGAGTTCCTCGTTTCAGACATCATTGGTCGCCGAGTCACCGATGACAACCCTCCCCACGTCGAGTATCTCGTACGTTGGAAGGGTTACCCTGATGAGGAGGCTACCTGGGAACCCCTTGAGCACTTGCAGCACGCTCGCATGTTGGTGCGTGCCTATGACCGTGCTCATCGTGCTGGGTTCACTGCTCMTCCTCAGCCCACTGACCCTCCTCCTTCTCCCCCGGCTGAGGAGACCGCTGAAGTCGAGCCTGCTCCATCTGAGGCAGACCTTCATCAGCAGTCGGATGCTTCTGAGCGTCCACAGCGCACTCGTCGTCGTCCTGCTCGATACGACGATTGACT